AATTTACTGGATATCTCGCTTACAACTACACTGGATTTCCACAGTTCACACGTTGAATTCCTTCTTGAGAACTGCTCCCTCATTGTTATCAGTGTCTTCTCTGTCTGGCTGGTCCCTGAACATCTGCTTCTCTGTTCTGTATTCACTCTCCTTAGCTGTAGCCTCCGGAACTGTCCTCAGCTCACAGCTCTGCTGTCTGAGTCTTCTGTCCGCCGTTATCTTCGGTGGTCGGACGGTCTAGAAGACACCTTCTCGAAGGGTTTGTTTCACGTTTCCGGTATAACGGCATCCGGCGTACTGGCCACGTCCGCGTTGTCTCAGGAACGTGCTTTCATTCCCAGACAACACGCCGATTCCATCTCTAGCGCACTGATTGCCGAGAAAACAACGCTCATTGAGCCGTTGCCCGGCAATTGACGTCTCTGTTGTTTTCCGACTTCGATGCTCCGGCTTTTAGGCGGAACGTCGCAATGTCTTGTCCATAAGAAACTGATATTGGGTTCAATTCTGAGCCAAATCTTTTTGGGCTGCATATTTTATATGGCGTAAAATCTTAGGATGTTCGTGAACGAAGAACTGGGCAAGACGTAGAAGGAAGGGGTCGCGGTCGGACTCGGGGAAAGAAACACAAAACCCGTCTGTGGCCCTACACTCAAACACAGGAACTTCCGAATAAAAATCAGAAGGGTCATTCAAGCAATGACGACGCCGGATGAGCACCGTTCCTTATCCGAGAGAGACTTGTGCGACGCTGCTGATGTGCCACTCTTCTTCATTCTCCACTCTTTACTATTTAGAGCACTTGGATTTTTTTTTTAATTATGATAAGTAAACACATATGTTAGGAAAGAATGACCCTACCCGACCTTCTTAAATGAGATACCCCTTCCATCCTTCCTATAAATTCAAGAATCAACNCGGTCATTCAAGCAACGACGCCGGATGAGCACCGTTCCTTACCCGAGAGAGACTTGTGCGACGCGGCTGATGTGCCGCTCTTCATTCTCCACTCTTTACTATTTAGAGCGCTTGGATTTTTTTTTTTTAATTTATGATAAGTAAACACATCTGTTAGGAGAGAATGACCCTACCCGACTTTCTTAAATGAGATACTCCTTCCATCCTTCCTATAAATTCAAGAATCAACACTTGCTGCAGCGAACAGAATATCAGGACTGTACGTCTCACTGACAGTGGGCATGACGACATTAAGCAGAGATGCAACTCAGGAAATAGAATTGCTGAAATCTTCAACATGAGAAACACAGCGCGCCAGGTCACCCCACCCCTGTTGCAAATCACCAAGAAGAAGCCGCAAGTAACAGCAATGGAAACCTTCTATCTGGGCTGGAGGACACATTTTCCCAGTGAGTCCTCACCGTCCTGAACTTCAAGTGTTACTAATATAAATACACTATTTCCCTGTAACAGGCCGTGGAGGCCCATAGGGTTGTGAAACGTCGAGGTTCCCACATTTTGTAGACAATCGGCTCACACATAGCGGTGAGTTTGTCAGCCTTAAGCGCTGGCCGTCCATTACCACCAAAATGTTACCTGGTACTCATTTCTGTTAGAGGCTGAGTCAACTCCAGGGCCATAGTGCGGTTGGATTATGTAAAGTGAAAAAATTCACACTGATATATTGGGTTTTTGGACTTTATCCATCGTCCTGGTTTTTAAGATAACTAATAAAAACACGACGTTTCGGAAACTGGATCTGTTTCCGTCCTCAGGCGAAGGAAAACACCTATTCTGTTGGGTCCGTTAGAAAGAGCTAGCCTCAATCACTGGACGAGTCCAAAAACCCAATATATCAGTGTGTTATACACCATCGTCAGAATCCTATAGTAACTACTTGAAAAAATTCACCTCATTGGGACTCGAATCCGCGACCTTGCGGCTTCTAGCACAGTGTTTCAACCAACTACGCTACCGTGTGCCCCACTAGAATTTTACGTATCCACAAACTACACATATTATATCTTACACAATGGGCGCATAATTATCTGTTATTCCCCAAGTGTCACTTTTGGGCCGAATAATAATAGCACCCATTGAGTGTGTCCCGCGAAAAGGTTTGTTCAAGGTCCCGTGCTTCAAGCACCACAACAACGAAGATTTTAAAACGCCCCAAAGAAGAGTCAGGAATCCATAATGGAAAACATTTTATATTCAGGGCCCCATATTCATAAATACAAATTATCGGGCTTATTTTTTGATTTGAATTTTATGAAATTTCACTAATTTTTACGCGACAGACGAGAGGCTCAGTGCTCAGACGAAAAGATCGTTTTACTATCACCTCCAAGGATATATATAAAACAAATAGGTAAATGAGGTAAATTTGTCCCTGTGCTTAGCTAATTAGGCACTATACCATGAAGACGTATGGAGGAATTGATGTATAGATCCACATTTTCTTGACCTCGACACTAGCTGGAGGTAAGTGGTCATTTCACGCCCGGGCCGCTTTACTCCCAGGAAAGGGCCACCGGTACCCATTGGATAGGAGGTTGGGTGGACTCCAGGACCCATATGGACGACGTGGGGAGGAGAAAGTTCTTGACCCTACCAGGACTCAAACTCCGACCCCTCGGTAGCCAGTCGCTATACCGGCTATGACATCCCGGTTCACATATAAATCAAATAATTCCCTAAAGTAGGTGGCACGGAGAATATTAGGAGTAAGTGGTGGAGGTGGTGTCCGTGGAATCGAGGGAACTGGTAGCTAAGTGACAAGAGAATGCAGACATGTTGGAGTTGATATATTGGACATGGAATTCGGAAACCGAGAAAATATTTTACGGCACGTAAGACCATGCAAGTCATGAATTCAGTACTAGGAAATTTAACGATTGCCGAGGATATATACAATAACTTATCCTCCTCCGTGGCCTTTAGTCCACAAGCGAACTATGCCGACCGAGCGAACCCCGCTTGTCGGCGAAGTTAGTATCAACTTTCTGGACAGCGTAGCCCTAAGAACGTCCATTGTTACGAGATGGCTCTTCTTGATAGGAGGGGCTACAGTCTCTTGAGCAGGAGTCGGCGGCGCCTTGCTGTCTCGGAAGTGAAGTACACAGATTCGCAATTGCAAACAAAGGATGAGCACTGAAACTACTTAGAAAGAATTAGCAAAAACGACGTTTGGGGATCCGTCAACTTTCTAGAAAATGATAGCACAACTTCCGTGTTTTCTAAGTGGGTATATGATTAGCTTGCATGCCTAAAAACGTTATTATAACTTGATCTTCTGCAAAGCAAGTCGGTATTTGTTGTGTGTGTCTCAAAGTTATACTTTGTGTGCCAGTGTGTGACTCTATGAGACATAGTTTCAGGGCATATTAGCGCACTTAAAAATTATCAGTTCTGTTCTGCTAATCTCCTTTGGAATTACCGTTTCCTTGCTTGTGAATGTACACGTATATTAGGAGTAAAGCTTTTATGCCTCTGAGTGTGCCTTACAAATATCGCTTCTGAACTTGTGAGCGCATATAAAATTGTCGCTTCTGTTCTTAGGGGTGTGCCTTACGAATCTTGCTTCTGTGTTTGTGCTACCTATGGAGTATCGTTTTTTGGCCTGTCTGTGAGCCTAGAAGTTTCAATTTTATATTTCATGTGGCCGCTGGGTGGACACTAACGCAAATGCGAGAGTTCTAACGATTTCCAGCTGTAATAAGGATAAATAGAGGCAGATGCTGCTACAGTTACGTTGTATACATCCGAGCGTACTATGAGAACAGCTAAACCATAATGTTCGGAGCCGGGATAGCGCAGTCGGCATAGCGACTGGCTACGAACTGGAGGACCGAGAGGTTGGAGTTCGAAACCTGATGAGGTCAAGAATATTCACTTCTCCATGTCGTACACACCGGCTCATGGGTTCACCCAACCTCCTATCTAATGTGTATTGGGGACTCTTTCCCCGGCGATAAAGCGGCCGGGGCGTGAAGCTGACCACTCACCTCCAATTAAGAGTCGAGGTCAAGAAAACGTGGGTCTATACATCAACTCCCCCATACGTCTTCATGGCTTAGTGTTTAATTAGTTAAGCACGGGGGCAACTTTACCTTACCTTTAAACCGTAATGTTCATATACATAAGCAAATACGGATTTCATATCGATATTATACACCAAAACTCAAAAACTGGATGGCGTAACAGGAAAACGCAGAGTTCACGTGACCCCTACTTCCTGTTGCGCCATCCACCTCACACTACGTTCATTTCTAGATGACAATAGGTTTTATTGTTCTGGCTATTCTTGATTTATTCAAAGATGCTTTAAACGGCTCAGTTTGTGTAGCGTCCTTACTGAGATCATTAGTTCGGAAGAAAGTTACTGTGGCCTAATTTCGGGCACCACCTCGGCATTGTATGGAGGGATTGAGATAACACAGTACAACTCAGTCTGATTAGTCGGTCTTCTAGCTGAAATTTGAACCAGAGGCCTCCCGAATTAGGTATCATTTATAAATGCACGTAGATTTGTGACAAATTTTGGCAACTACAGTTACCATGTTGAACTGTATAACAGGATTGTAAACAAATGAATACTGATGTACTACACTTTCCGTTTCCTTTGAAGTGTTCTTGTAAATGATGAATGAATTTAACAAGAAATGCTTTACGTTTTATAAATTAGGTGAAACTGGGTACACTCCTACTTTTATAATTAACAGGCTATGGAGGTATGAGCGGTATTTAATGTTACTACTCATCTCCTCTTCTATTCTCCACGTTGCTAAAACCTAAACCAATAATTTCAATGCGAACTTCTGCTGAGTCATTTATACCGCATAAACACCAACCCTCGTTTCGAAAAATAAAGGAAAACAAAATTTAACAAGAAAATATTTCATAATATTACTCGCAATACACTCCTTCGTGTAATACGGTAATTCATAATTACAAATAAACAGGTTTTATGAACAGTAACGACAAAATAATGACGTGTACATTGTCTGAAAACAGAAGAGAATTGGCTGCAGTTTCCTTACCTCGGGTAGGGTCTCAGTGGTAGATGGAGGGGCAATCATTGCACCTGTAACAAAATAGAGAGGTGATATAAGACACTGATTTATAATAAAGAAACATATCTTGAGAATATATTGTGACGTGGATGGCGGAACAGGAAGTAGGGGTCACGTGAACTCTGCGGTCTCACAAGTGACGTCACATACCCCACCCCTTACATTATCGCGCAACACTCGGTGAACACCCCCTCCCCGCGGTGACGTAACAGAGGAGCAACTGTGTCAGGCAACCATTGGCGCGGTGGCGTAACAAGGGATCCGCGGTTACTACACAGCAGTAAACAACTCTCGACAGTGTTGCTAGGCAACTTGTAAATGCGGCATCACGCAACAGCGGACTCTATCACGTAACTGTTTTCTGTGTTGTCCGTGCAGATCCTAAAAAAGGGGCAGCGAACATCTCAATTCTGAGACAGTAAAATGTGGACGCGAGTCCCAAGGGACTCGGACCCAAGTAAGACTGCGCTGGCAAGGGCCAGCAGCATATACAAAAGACAGACCCGCCTTCTCGTTAGAGAAGGCGCCCCACAGATACAAGACCGTAACTGTCAAACGGTAATAATTAATATCTGGTCATAAGCCCCAAATGGGGCTCGACACCAAGACTTACTGACTGACCGACCGTCAGTCGCAATGTGACTTTGACTTTGACTATTCAGTAGTGAGTGAGGATTGAGCCAGTTACGAGTGAGTGAGTTACTAGTGAGTAACGATTAACCAATCAGTTTCAGTCTAGCAGTCGCCGAGTCGGGTTGTATCGAGTGCATGGCAGTAACAACAGGAGAAGTATTTGTGAGACTGCCAATGGCAGTAATTATGAGATTGTAAATTGTGTGATTGTAAGAGCGAATGTTCAATAAATTCGCTATATCCAATTCGGCGTAAAGTTATTTCTCCCGTGACCTACCCAACACGTGACAATTTAATTAAAAGGGTAAAACTATTCAAGTTATCTGCTACAGTTACGCTTAAGTTGAACGTAATATTTACTTCTTGTATACTTAGAGGGCCGATTAGAGTGGCCGCGCAGTCTAAGGCATGAAATACTATCTTCGACCGATCGAACACTGTGATCGTGGGTTCAAATCCAACTCAAGTCATAGATGTCTGTGTCTATTCTGTGTTTGTGTTAGGTAGAAGCATTGTGACAGGGTGATCCCCGTCCAAGCAGTCCTACCGACTGTCTTAGATTAAGAAACTCAAGTGAAACGAAGCGTTTCGCGGATGCCCTATGCTCCAAGTGGGAGCAATAAGAATAGAAGAAGAAGATGATGATGATATTGATGAAGATGAAGATACTTAGAGGATATTGAAATTAGGTTGTAATAAATGTAACTACTTATCGATTTCTATGATAGATATTCTAATTCCATTCTTATTCCATTAGTGTACAAAGTCATTCAGTTAAGTTATTTCTACATAAATGTCTTATTTACACATTTTAGAAGTTGATGAATGCGCTGAACAAGAGGTTCTGCGTTGTTCTGCTGCGCGAAAACTTCAAATGTCACTTTGTTCAGAGTTAAAGATCGGGAGGGGGAGTGACAAGTATCTCGCGTAATGTCATTCTCAGAACCTGTGAAGCTCCCGGATTTCTTCAGATCCTGACATCAGAGTCTTGGCTCCGATGGAAAGGAAAAACCGGTACTGACAGTGAGTCAGTCTACGTTAAACTTAACAAGTTCACATCTCTCTGTCTTTGCGTTCTAATAAAGAGGCGGACCTGTGACACATCAGTTGTCATTTGCAGTTAAACCTGCACATCAGAAATTTGGAACTTATCAACACATTTCCGCCGGTTTGCGTTAACGTTTACACTTTCATCACTAATCGAACTTTTGTCGCCCTTTTGTTTTGGGGCACTTCCCTTTGCATGCCCGTAATACATGCGATTTCATTCATCCGTACTCGCGTTTGATGACTTTTACGGGTATGCAAACGGACACATAATCCGTCACATAAGTATGAAAGTATAATTTATCTCGCGTCTCTAGTACTCATGACAGGTAAATAAAATCTCCCACGTGTATAATGTTATCATTTGCAATGTTTACAACGGAAGCCGTAGGTCAATAACTAGCGTAGGAAGGGCGCTTAATTTGGGGAAGTTTCATTCTAGAGTCTACGGAAAGAAGACCCCAAACCACACTGACTGAAATTCTGAAAGATATTTATTTTGTTGTCTATTGTAGTGCATATTAAGCAGAAAACACGACAAAAAATATTTTCTTTATCATAATGTAACGGTTAAATCCAGGATTGCCATGGCAAAAGCTGCATTTAGCAAGAAGAAGAATCTTTTTACCAGCAAATTGGACTTAAATTTGAGGAAGAAACTAGTGAAATGCTACATTTGGAGCATAGCTCTGTATGGGGCTGAAACATGGACACTTAGGGCAGTAGATCAGAAACATCTGGAAAGTTTCGAAATGTGGTGTTGGAGAAGGATGGAGAAGATCAGTTGGACCGATTATGTGAGAAATGAAGAAGTGTTAATTAGAGTCAGTGAGCAGAGGAATATCCTACACGAAATAAGAAAACGGAAGGCTAATTGGATTGGTCATGTTTTACGCAGAAACTGCCTTCTAAAAGAAGTTATCGAAGGAAAGATAGAGGGGCGGATAGAAGTGACAAGAAGACGAGGAAGAAGACGTAAGAAGATGCTGGATGACCTTGGGGACAGAAGAGGATACTGTCATTTGAAGGAGAAAGCTCTAGATCGCATTAAATGGAGGAACTGTTTGGGAAGAGACTGCGGACCTGTCGTCTTGACAGATTACTGATGATGAATGTAACGGATTTTCATAAAGCGTTTCTAGGCAACGGCTCGATAAATATGTTTCATCGTGCAACGATGGAAGATGTGTCTCAGTGGACGAATATTATGGCTCGTTGCTAGGCAACAGTCAGTGCGCCAATAAACCCGTTGGCTAGGAATCACGTGACTCGTGTTGTCCGTGCGGAGCCTATATAACGAAGGCCCTTGTAGCTTATATTAGTGCAAAGCGAAAGATTTATACGTATTGAAGGGCCTTAAGGTGCCTGACACCAAGACGAACTGATTCGCGGGAAACTGCCAGTCGTAAAATAACTCTGACCCTAGATTAGTACAGAGTGCAGCGTAGTGTAGTTAAGAGTTCAGGAGAGTGTTTAGTTGAGTTCCGAGGTTCCAGGCTGATTGAACAATAAATGGCAAAGACTTCATAGTGATTTGAAGTACTAGTTTGTGTGTTGAGATCCGTTGCCAGGATACGACTAGTGAAGATGGAGAATCCTAATGCGTGTGCAACGGTGAACTGTAAACTGTGTAAATCGGCGATAGCGCTGAATTAATTGTAATGAAGAGAGACATAAGCTCAGCGCCAATAAATCCAATCATCCGATCTGAAACCCATTATTTTCATCACACGTGGAGCACGTAATATGTACGGGGACGTATTGTGATGGAGAAAAAAACCCGATTTAGAGATTTTGACGAATTTAGAATATTTCATGAGCCCCTGAAAAAATGAGCTTTTGTTATGCCTTCCTTCCCTCTGCCTGCCTGTCTGCTGCCTCTATGGATGGACATACGGACGTATGTATGCATGGAAGTGTGTCTCGCTAGTTCCTGAACGATTGCACGCATTCTGTTCATATTTTGTATTTTAGAATCTATCCGTCACAGGACGGTGCTCGGCGTATTTGTATATTCTAGCTCCAAAAATAGATTCCCATCAAGTCAGCTCTAAAGCATGAAATGGCGATTTTCTCGAAAAAAATTCTAACAATTTTGATAATGTTTCAGGAATTTATGGAGATCATATTAAGCTGTTTTACGTTTATTCATGAAAATCTGCCTTCATAGTACATTCGGCACGAAGTCTGTATAAACTATAACCAGGTGCAGCAACTGTACGCCACAATTCAGCCAAAGCTTATTGAAAGCTCCGCGGTGGGAAGCCAGCGACTAACCGCTTGAGCTATGGCACGGCTACTGAAAGTACTAATTTCTGGAATAGTGACTCAGCGGGTTCCGGTGTCACATCCCAGAAGACAGTACGTACTGTCATAGTCATCGGGGTGAGAGAGAGCATATAGTTAATTCAAGGCCCATTCAAATTGCATGTGAGCCAGAACACGAGCTCCACTGTGGTCCCTTCGCACAAAAGACTCTCTCTGTATGTCTGAAATGTTTTTCACTTCACTGAAGATCGATTCTCTTCGCGCTAACGACAGCTTGCCTTGAACGTGAGTGAAAGGGAATGTGCACATTTTGAGAGTTCAAACAGAAACGTAACGGAATATCGTCCAACCCTCTCGTATTTCTCTCAACGAAAAGGCCTTCTTGACATGTGGTTAATATTTTAACGGATTTTTCCGTAAGCTCAGTGAAAGTTGTGGTGGTAGTGGTGCTTGTTGCTGTGGTTTGGTTGTGGTGGTGGTTGTGGCTTTTGTTTTTGCTGTGGCTGTGATGGCTGTGGTTTTGGTCCTTCTTGTTGTTTTCGTGATGATTGTGGCGGTGGTTATTTTGGTTCTTGTTGGGGGGGGGGATGTCTGTGGTTTTGGTCCTTCTTGTTGTTTTCGTGATGATTGTGGCGGTGGTTATTTTGGTTCTTGTTGGGGGGGGTGATGGCTGTGGTTTTGGTCCTTCTTGTTGNCTACTTTACTTTATATATATATATAGATATATATACATACACACACACACACACACACAACCTTTAGAAGGGAGCAGTGTAACGTGGATAGCGCAACAGGAAACGCAGAGTTCACGTGACCCCTACTTCCTGTTGCGCCATTCACGTTTATATATATATATGATGGAAAGATAAATATTAAAAGCTGATAATGACTTTAATATAGTGACAATAGCCTATTTCAAGAAACTTTCCAAGCATAAGCTTAGATGGGCTAGGAAAAGTCATACGAAATTTCACACGGAATTCCACTCGGCCATAACCTGAACACAAGTGTGACGGGTTTTTGTTACGAGAACCTACAGTCCCACACAAGCCAGACTTGGGAC